AAGAAGATGATGACGACGACAACGTCTACAATACAATACACTTTTTTGAGGGGGGTGGCAGGGCTTGCTTGTGCCTCAAAGAGAGGACTGACTGTGACTGTAACTATGCTCACAACAAAACATAGAAATTAATAATGGTGATTTGGCAGGGAGACTGAGTGGGACTAAAGAATTTTAGAACGCATCCACATCAATATCATATGGTCAGTTACTTTAATTTGAGTCACTTAAAATCACATGAAACACATTCAGTTTGTTTAGATTGGAATTTGTTTATTGGAACATTTACAATGCATTGTTTTCTACATTAGGACACATTTAGTTTATATTATTTTGTCATATTGTTGTTTGGCTAAATAAGTTTTCATTCATTTCTCTTTGCCTTTGAGTTACCTGGCTGCTGAGTTCTCTTCCTGGGTTAATGCAGAGGTCTTAGCCAAAGACCATACCAAGAGCTCTGACAGCATATGGGCAATCAGTGTTTCTTTGTGTGTTTGTGAGTTTTAGTCATTGCAGCTTTTACCTGCACTGTCATTTTTCCAGTAGTTATGTTTTGTTGACCCATTTTAAAAGGACCTATAACTCTGTTAATTAAATTCAATCTTTTTTGTTTGTCAATATGAAAATATCATAAGCTTATTAACACAACTGACTTCCTCCGGGTCCATTTGTAACAAGTCCGCGTAAACAGGAACTGGACCAGAAATAATAGCAATACGATACTGGATTTAGATTCTATAAAACGCTATCAAACCCCTGTCCTACACTGTCCCAAGTAAATTTACTAGTAAAATAATTTGAATGTTTTTCCACTCGAGATCATGGTAAATATTATAATTGACATTTTAATAGTTTTTGATTTTCACAGATTTTACATTTAAACTGTATATTTCAAGAATCTCTCAAACGTTTACTAACAGATGCTATCAGCACACATCATGTGTGCACTTCTACCAATGATCATTCATGTAAGTAGAGTATCTGTAGCATCTGTTGTTTTATGGTGCAGCTTCCTCGTACTGCTATCCATCATCCACAGGGGGGCAATATAGTCCTCTAAAAGTCCCTCCCTCCAAGCTTGGTTAAATCCCTGCTCTGATGCAAACAGATTGACCTATTTCTGCTGTAAGACCCAACAAGTCACATGTCTTCCTGCTGTTCTGTTCAGGTCAGGCACGCACGCTTCTGTGATGTATGACTCCAAACACATCACTTGCTGTTTATTTTCATGGATCACTGGAAGGCTGAATCACATTCACATGCAGATTAAGTGCATTGCAGGTTTTTTGGATTTTTTTTTGAGGAATTTTGGATCTAAAGTCACCATGCAAAACTAGAATGACTTAATAATCCTGTGCTCACCTTGGCCTGGTGGAGGTCTACTCCGTACATGGAGAGTTTCTTGGCATTCTCCAGAAACATCAGGTCTGCTTGGGCCGGACTCATTGACCTGCCAAAACACCATAGCAGGAATCCAATAAAATATTTAGTTAGTGTGACTGTGGAGATGCTGTGAAATGAGAACGGGCACACTCATGTGCAGAGAGTAGGAGAAACTATGGTGGCCGCAAAACTCATGAATAATGCAAAAGGCCCTATCTACTTATATTGTTTGGTTGTCTGGGCTCCTGTAGAAACATGGAGGTACAACATGACAGACTCTGTAGAAGAGGACCTGCTCCCTCTTGCAAAATGCAAAGATTCTCATTGTTAACTGATTATACGCTAATGAGAACCTTTCTGCGATATTCTGCAAATAGAGCCTGCTAAATCTTGTTTTTATTTGTTTTTATAAAAATTACCACCTGCAGTTTTAATTGTGGTAATAATAATTTTACTTAGGCAAAGAATCTGAATACTTCTTTCACCACTGGTTGAATGAGGCAGTGTTCTGACCTGTAAGTATGGTGCAGCTCCATCATTTTGTCCTCCAGCTCCTTGGTCTGGCCATGGGCCATTTTCATGTCCTTAGCGTATTGGTTGCTGTGCACCTCGGGGTCGTACTCACCCAGCTCCGACTGCAAGGCGTAGGAGCCCAGCAGGGCAAGGGTGACGAAGGAACAGGGTAGGCGGCCCTGCAGGATATCCTTCCGCAACTGGAGACACAGGTAGTACCTGCAGTGCACAAACAGTGATCATGTAGGGATTTACCATCTATGGAACTGTTATGATAACAGATAATCATTTATGGAGAACTGTACTGCATTCGCAGAGGAAGACTGTGACATGTGGTTCAAAGCTCCAGAAAAGGCTAGTAAGTGGGTAAAGATTTTTGTCAGCTTTCATGCTCAGTTCATCTCCTACGTGCACAAGTCCCTGTAACCTTTGATGACAATATATTTGATTCCCAGGGGTTTTTATATTTGATTAACCTGTAGGAGTCTGTCAAAGTTCATTAACTGCTTTTTTAGATTTTACTGTATTTCAGCTCATGCCCACCAGACCGGAGTCTGTGTTGCTGACTTGTCGAGGTTTAACACCAACATGGGATGTTCCTTTAGCTTTTCCAGGAATTTAAATAACTCACCTTTACAACATATACGCTTATAATTAGTTGCATAAATTGTACTTATTCATTGTTTTAAAGGTCCAGTGTGTAATATTTAGAAGGATCTGTTGGTAGAAATGGAATATAATATGCACAGGTATGTTTTCATTAGTGTTTAATCACCTGAATATAGGAATCTTTTTGTTTCTGTCATCTTAGTCCTGATTTTTAGATCCTGGAGCACTTTTATCTTTTATCTTTATCCTTTATAATTTATCATGTTTGTACAATGGTTGACTATTGTTTTTGTTTTTATATTTTTGTCAAGCGGAATGCCTTGTCATTAACTGCAAACCAAACCTACTCAAGGGTACAAATAAAGGAACTTAACCTAACTTATAATATTGATTTGTTGGTAATAAGATAGGACATCATCATCTCCACTCTCTGCACATCAAGGTCCTTGGATTTTGTTGTGTTATTCATAACATTTTAAAGTTGTGTGTGATTTAATGTTCTCATAATATCAAATAAACGGGTTAGACACTAAAACTTCTGAATTCCATCTTAAAACACACATACTGTAACCGAACAATCCGTGTGCTTATGAACAACAGGTATTTTAATTCTTAAGGATTCAAACTAATCCTGAGGTACAAGGACAAACAAATAAACATAAAATTATGTTTGTAAGTAGCAGTGGAACCCATACAGTACCTAGTTATGTCTTCAGACAGCTGGGCTGGGTCTGGTGGATAGAACTTCACATTGAAGGTGAAATTATAGTTGGCACCTTGAGAAAGAAAAGGAGGGTGTGATTAAATAACTGCAAATATGTATTAAAAACATGTTACAAAAGAAAATTAAAACAGAAGGTACATTTGTGGGTTCCACTCACCTTGTACCTGCCTGCGGATCTCCTTGGTTAGGTCCATCCAAGTCTGAGCAAAAAAGGATGCAGCATGAGGTTTGATATCATTATACACTGTTCAGTGTCAGAGTTCTGAGGGCCACATGTTAATCTAACCATCAATGAAATTTACGTAAAGAACTGCCTTTTTCTTGTCCTAATGGAATACTGAGGTTCGGGTGTTGGATTGATACTAACTAGTGTCAGTTACTTACCTTCATGGTGGATGTCTCCCAAATAGCCAGGCCATAGTAGTCTTTCTCCAGCAGGTTGAGGTGGTCACACACTTTCATGAACAACTCCTGGCCTTTGGCATGTTTCTGACACACACACATACATAAAGGGAACAAGACACAGAATAATTAAACATTCACCTACTAATGTAACAGACCTGACATTACATACAGGACAGGTATTCATGAAAAGCAAAATTGTAAGAACAATGCAGAGGTTCAGAGGAAGCAGTCACTTCTCCCACTGGACTATTTAACAGCTGTCAAACTGAAGCAGGGACTAAGCAGAAGAGACTGGTCTGAGGGAAGATTGGAGCCAAACTTTTCCTTTTTTTATTTTTTCTTTCCAAATAAACATTACAGCTTTGTCTGCTGGCTTTACTGGATGAGAAGTTGATAGCTGTAAATCTGTAAAAGTAACAGTGATCCCATGAAGCGTTCCTCAAGAGCCTGAAGGATGACTTATAGCCATTTGGAGGCATTGCCATTCAAAATAAGTCATGTGTTGATTTGGGGTGCAGGACAAATAGTTACAGAGAGCCATTTTTTCACCTTTAAAGAAAAACAGGTGCTCATTGGTTTCTCGGGGAACATCAGACATGGTACAAATGGACACAAATGTCTGGAAGAGAGTTAAAGAGTGTCTGAGTTAGGCACTGGATATTATCCAGTTCCTTTTAAGATTTAAGATAAACTATTAATCCCCAATTGTGTTTTTGTTTTTTTTACTCTTTTTTATTTTATACATACACAGGCGAAAATGCACAATCATGCACATGCAGGGCTTGTGGACATGCAAACATGTAGAGAGATGGTGGAGTGCGTTTTGTGGTTAGATGCCTTGCTCAAGGGCACCTTGGCAATGCACAGGATTACCTCCTGGCACCTCTCCAGCTACCCATCCACACTCCATACTATGGTCTGTGGGACTTAAACCAGCAAACCCACCTGTTCCCAAGCCAAGTCCCTATACACTGAGCTACTGCCGACCCAAAGACTTCCACCTGTCAGAACCTGGGTAAGGATCTAGAGTAATGTTCCTCTGGAGAAAGTAGGCGTGTTTGGAGGTGGGATTAGTGCTGTTCTTCATTGTTCTGGCAATGGAGGCCAAATCATGGGATGATCAGAGCTGTCCATAAGTGCTAGCTGTGGCTCAGGAGGTAGAGCAGGTTGTCCACTAATATATACTATTATATATAATATAATAGATTATATTATATTATGTTATATATAAAAATAAATGAAAAATGCCTTTTTAACCCATTGCATTCCCAGTCATATTGCAACAATGTGTCTATTAACAATGTATTCCAAAAAAAATTTGTTCTTCCTGTAAAACAAAATGTGATGCGTACTTACCAACCAATAATATAATGACATTCTCCTGTAAATCAATCAATTCAACAATACAGAGCTAAGACTGACAAGTTAGCAACCTAGCAACAGCATGGCTTTCTGCCGGAGTGGGGTGATTCTGGGGCACAGTGATTTGGGTGAAACTGGATCATATTTTATGGAGAACTCCCAGTGAACACAGCCTCCAAGATAGACAGCGGTTTAACTTCAACCAGTTTAACTACAGTGGTACCAAGGTGTTTTACGGTGTTTATAGATGGACAGAAGCTTAGGGCTGCCAATATTAGATGCTGTTAGCTAGTTGGCTCGTTCAGTTAACATTAGCTGACTTAGCCCCGGGGTGCCAGGAGCTAAACACATCAAAATAATACTTTGGTGCACTTTGCAAAGTTAAGATTATGTAATAAGCTGAGGATGTCACAGAGACAGCATTCTGCACTTTCCCACCTGGACATCGAATAAGAACTTGTTAGGGGTACTGATTTTGAGAATGTTGTACACCACTTTGCATTTTCAAATTTAAGAAAGAGGTCCAGTGTGCCATAACATGATTGTATTTAACAGGAAATCTATGTCAGTTCAACCTCCATTATTTAGAAAGTTCAGTATAGTGGTAGCCTTGGTGGGACACACCACTGTGTGTACAGTACATTAACTTGTATTTGTACTGAAAATGTTTGCATCTGCAAAATAACTTCTCTTGTACTTGATGACTGCTGGATATTGAAGTTCAGAATAAATTAATAAATTAATCATAAATATTTTTCATTTTGTGTGAGTACAATGGATGAAAATTTTAAATTAAAAATGCTTACATCCAGCTCACACTCATACAGTGTGTTGTCCAGTAGGGTGACTTTGATCTGCATGGTCTTAGGCCGACGTGGAGCTCTGGGAGCTTTAGCTTCCTCCTCTGTTGTCTTCTCCTTCTCTCCCTTACTACCTCCTTCAGGACTGGACTCCTTGTCCTCCTTCTTCCCCTCCTTCTTTTCCTCTTTCTCCAGGGCAGCCACCTCACCTTTCTCCTTGCCGTTTTCTTTGTCCTGTCCACCCTTCTCTTCCTCAGCTTCTTTCTTCTCTAGCTGGACAGCCTAACAAAGACACTTTGATTACAATGCATGATGATGAGAATGTATGCAGAAATATACGCAGAGATTGTCTTGCTTGTCTCTGTGGTTGGGATTGTAGCTGGTGTTAATCTCCTCCATCTTTTCCTCAGTGGTTACTGCAGTGTTTGCATTTAAAAACCTCAACCGGCCAGATAGCAGTATCAGCAGGGAGTTGACAAAGTGGTGACAATTTCATTGACAATTTCAGTCATCATAGATATCCACAAAATCAATGAGATTGTGGTGGTCTACTAGTCTAGTGTGAAAGTTAACTGAGAGAAACAATTGTCTGTATGTGTTCACATGATTGACCAATAAAACTGATTTTCTGATAGACACACACACAAAGCAGGGAAGATCTATACAATCAAGTTCAAGTTTCAAGGTTTGCACCCAATATTAGTGTCACCAATTCAGTATCTGACTAAATTGAGAAATATGGCCAATAGCCAGAAAAGTGATGTTGCAGAAAATTATGTTTTATTTTATGTCACAGTGAAGTTGATCTTTGACCTTTTGGATATAAAATGCCATCATCTCACCATTTTATTCCATTAGACATATTTGTGAAATGTTCTCTAAGTAGTGTATGAATTGGACAAAACAAGCAAGATATGTATATACCGATCAGCCATAACATTATGACCCCCTGCCTAATATTGTGTAGGTCACCCTTTTGCCGCCAACATAACATCCACATGAATGGCAGGACCCAAGGTTTCCCAGCAGAGCATCGCCCAAAGCATCACGCTTGCCTTCTTCCCATAGTGCATCGTGGTGCCATGTGTTTCCGGCCATCCACAAGATGTCATCAGACCAGACCACCTTCTTCCATTGCTCCGTGGTCCAGTTCTGACGCTCACATGCCCATTGTAGGCGCTTTCTGCAGTGGACAGGGGTCAGCATGGGCACCCTGACTGGTCTGCAGCTACGCAGCC